TGCAATTAATATCTAAATAAATGCATACAATTCTTGCCGAACTTATTTGCTCCACCCCATTTTTTCTCTTTTTTTCTTCTTTTGTTTTTTGGCTTGAAGCAATGTACCTCCATTTTCTTCTTATAATGGAGTTTCAATTTCAGTCAAAGATGGAGGCGCTTGAGCGCTGTGGAGGGTGAGAAGGTGACGATAGATTCGACCACATAAATGCCAATAACAACATAAACATCCATTACTTATTTTCAAAGTAAAGGTGCTAATGAGGTGTAACGCCCCAGAACCCGAATCCGAGGCGCGACAGACGCCGTGCACTCGTGAGACGGGTCCCACAGATGCACAAGGCTCGGAACTTACTGAACAAAATCATTTTTGATACCATAAAATTCCCAATTAAAATCTAACTTACAAGAGCGTGGTGTACATGTATCTAAAATCTATGTCAAATCCCAAGTGGCTAGCCTTTTATCACGTCACTCCCCTTGATTTCCGAGTCTCGGGGTACACTACCTGAAATGGTGGACGAGAAAAACGAGGTGAGATAACTCAGTAAGTAAAATATGGATTGCCCTTAATTAAACTTACAGCATGCCAACAAGTGCAATCACGAAAAACGGATACAGTACGGGCACGAAATAGACGTCTCCTCTATAGGTCATGGCCAGTTCCCACTGGCAGGCAAACAGGAATAGCCAGTTCCCACTGGCAGGCAAACAGGAATACTAGTGTATAATCCCCACTAGTAGGGCCAAGAGCGAACCGGTTCTATCAGGAACATGTCGACATGTGCTAGCGTTTGTAACCTCCCCCACTAGCGGGGTCAAGAATAACATGACCACATCGGAGACAAAACAGGCAGAAGTTAACAGGAAAATCACACTTCACAATCTCTTTCAGGTCATCAGGACAGTCAATCAAGTTTCAAGTAGGCATGCTTAATTTCATGAAAAACATAAAACTTTCACTTCAAATCAGTCATGCTCGTGTAAAACGGGTTTAGTCCCGCCACCATTTCAAAAACAAATCAAAACATGCTTGAAAAGTCGAAGGGCATTACCATAATTTTACTTACCTCACTCACATAAAACCGAGCACTCAATTCACGTACTAAACTGACAGGACGATCAAGAACCTAATCAAGATATTTCAAGAATTAATACCGGACTATCACAAATTCAAGCTGAAATCATCATTAGGATCATTCCTAATCACAATGCCATTTCTATCACTTTCCACATGATCGAACGTCTCCAAATTCGTTCTCATATCACAAACTAATCATTTAAATTCCCATTAAATGTTGGCCCTCGGGGTGTGAACAGTGTCGGTGAACAGTACCCGACGTGAACAGTAACCCCGACTTTCACAATTTGGCCAAAACACTAGTTAATCACGGGGTTTTCTCTCCAAAAATCACAGCAATCAACTCAAGCAATTTACACATGAATTAAGCAACAAAACACGCTTAAAACCCCTCTTAATTGCTACCGGAATTTCCCCATTTCTCACGGGCAGGAGAGCATGGCTTTAGCAAACCACAACTCATGCACACGGGACTTTCACACAAAACATCACAGCAGCTAATTCAAGCTCAATTCTACTTAATCAAGCTTAAAACACATTTAAAATACTACCGGAATTCCTCCCCATTTCCGGCACAATTCGGACACACACAAAGCAGCAATTAAATGGCTAATTTAGGGCTTAAAGAAGTGGCCATCATACCAGAAATTTCCAGCAAGAACCGGACCTAGCAGGGAGAAGAAGAGGCCGGCGGCAAGCTGCAGGGAAACTCACGGGTTTACCCAAAAATTGAAGGAACCAAGAGCAATTAACATAAACCCAAGCCAATTCAAGCAAGAACAAAGGAATTTAATGGCTGTTTCTTACCCAAAACCCAAGCAATTCGCCCCCCATAACAAGAGCAGCCGGCGGACAGAGCAAAGCAGAGCAGATCCGGTTTCTGCAGGGAGGGAGGGGAAACTTCTGGGTTCTTTATGGGTTCTAGAACAAGAAGGGAAGAGAAATTCATCAAGATCTCACCGGGTTTTTCAAGGGGGAAGAAAGTCGGTGGCCTAGGGGGTTTTCGGGAGGAAGGATCGGGAAGAAGGAGAAGATAAGGAAGAGCAAAACACGTGGTTGAGGAGAGAAATATCAGCCTTCATCCTTATCCTAATTTCCTTTCTTTTTAGCCCCTGAACTTTGAAAACTTTTGCTATTACATTCATTAATGATATTTCTTCACAATTAGGTCCCTAACTCACTTTAATGCTCTAAAAATTTTGGGGTATTACATGAGGGTTTCAACTTTGCACTTTTTTTTATTTAAGGATATTAATTTTGACAGTTTCTAAATAAGGATGTCAACCTTTTATTTTTTTTTAAATAAGGATGTTAACTTTGTCAGTTTCTAAATAAGGATGTCAACTTTTAATTTTTTTCTATTTAAGGATGTTAACTTTCAACTTTTTCTATTTAAGGATGTCAACTTTCAACTTTTTCTATTTAAGGATTAATTGAATGTCAACTTTTAATTTTTTTTCTATTTAAGGATGTTAACTTTCAACTTTTTCTATTTAAGGATGTTAACTTTCAACTTTTTCTATTTAAGGATTAATTGAACAGTGATGCTGACGTGTCTAACATATTTTTTTAGGTTAAATATTTGAATTGGTCCCTTAACTTTTATTTTTGAACCAATTCATCCTTGAACTTCAAAAAGTACCAAAAACGTCCTTCAACTTCAATTTTCAATTTCGTCTTTTCGTCAATTAAATGTTGATGTAGCTAATTTTTTTGCTAAGTGATTGACTATTTTACATTTTCAATATTAGGTGGAAAATCCATCATGTAAAAGATGATTATGTGGATTTTTTTTTATTTTTAAATAATTTACAAACTACTTTAATTCTTAATTTTACTTTATTTATATTTAAAAATTAAAACAATTAATATATTTTTC